ATACATGCTTTTTGAGTATCTTGAACTGTCCTAGCAGCGCACGGAACGTAAGATGAATCATTTTTCGCTCCTATTAGCATCATTATGTTTTAAAGTCTTTCTCGATTCCTTCAATTCGAACCGAGTAGTTCTTAAGATTAACACGGTCAAACAAACAAACTCTTTAGATTTATATAAGTGTTAATAATTGTAGTCGTGGGCTTAGCTATGATCTGACAATGAATTCATAGACACCCACCTCCTATTTTTATGGACTATTGAAGTCAGTATTTGATCTTATTAACATTGAGTTGTACGTTTGTTGTGTTTTATTATCGTGACTGGACTATAAAAATGATTTAAGCCTTGTGCTATGACATAACTTTTTAAGGCATATAAACAATAACGCCGCTGTTTTATAGCTTGATCAAAGCTGTATCTAAAAATTAACTTAATATTAGTGTAGGGCTTGTTGGTCTAATGGAAACGTATTAAATACTGTCTATAGTTTACGCGAGTAGTACACTTTTAAATAAAACACTTTAACGGTTTAAAACGCGATATATTAGTTAAACTTATTTGAAAATGATTTTTCGGGAAGACTTCCCGTGACCACGGCTGCTGCAAAGCATCCGAAACGTGGGGCCGAAGTTAAAAATCATTTTCAAATAAGATTAACTAATATATCGCGTTTTAAACCGTTAAAGTGTTTTATTTAAATGGAAACGTATTGCTAGTAATCGACGGGTCATGTGTTCGATTCGTTGGGGAATACATGTTTCTATTTTTTTTTTTTTTTTTTTTTTTTTTTTTTTTTTTGGATTGATTATTACGTATTGTGTTCCTATGGAGCCACAAATACTAACCGGACGTTTTGGGCGAGCGCGTTAGCGCTCGCCGTGTTTGCGACTAGACCAAGGGTGCCCCGAGGGGGGCATCGGCCTCGGCTTGGACCGCCGCAATGAGGGTGGGAGCTTGAAGAGCTGGACGGAAGCTCACCCGGGTGAGCGGTACGCGTAGCGAGTGACCTCGCCTACGCCGGCGTAGGCGGTTTTGCGGGCGATCGGCGCCGGTGTCGGCCGATCGCAAAGCGGTAAGGAGATCGACGGCTTTCGTTAGATCGTCGTCGGGGTCGGTAAGAACGTTACGCGGCCTTCTCCAGCGTGTATTGACGGGAACGGTGTAGTTGGCGGCACGGGCCACCAGTGGGTTCGGATGCGACGCGGCTTTTTTAAAGAACCGTTCGGACGATTCCTTGAAGTACCGACTGAGGGTCGGTAATTCGAGGTCGGCGTGAAGATTAGCATTCCGCACGCACCAGATGGCTCCAGTAGCGGTTCGGGTGAACCGGTTCTGAAGCACCTGGAGCCTGTGGAGTGTTTTAGGGGCGGCGTGAGCGAACACTACGCTGGAGTAGGTGAGAATCGGACGAATACAAGTTTTGTAAAGCGTAACCTTATGTCGGAGGGACAGTTTGCTACGCGCGCAAATTAACGGATATAGCCTACTCGTGACGTAGTTGGCTTTGCGAGAAACGGAACGGACATGTGCTCGGAAGTTTAACTGACTATCAAGCGTGACGCCTAGGTACTTTGTGGATTTTTGCCACGGAATGTCTTCGCCGTAAAGCTTGACATTGGCGGGGCGTCTGCACGGTTTAGTGGCAGTAGTGAAGGGACTACGAGTGAAGTAGATTGCCGCACTCTTATCGGGGTTGACCTCGACTCTCCATTTCCGGAACCATGCGCCTAGGGCGTCGGTCGCGGTCTGGAGAGTGGAGACGATCCGCTGCGTTTTGCAGTCGGTGGTGTAAATGGCCGTATCGTCGGCGAAAAGCGCGATGTGGGCTTTGGCGGTCTTAGGAATGTCGCTTGTAAAGAGCGAAAATAGGATCGGCGAGAGAACCGATCCTTGCGGAAGGCCTGAGCGAAGGGATTTCGGAGTGGAGAGGGCGCCCTCTACCCGGAAGCGGAAGGAGCGATTCGACAAGAATGAGTGGATAATACGCACCATTCTGTCGGGCACACCGATCTGGTATAGCTTGTATAACAGACCGTTATGCCAGACTTTGTCGAACGCCTTCGCTACATCGAAAAAGAGCGCTCCTGTCGCGAGACCGCGAGTCGTACGGCCGAAGCCGTGAAGGATGTGCTCCGTGAGGCGGTGCACTTGATGGGTACATGAGTGGGCATGGCGGAAGCCGAACTGTTCGTCCGGAAGAAGGGCCTGGGAGTTTGAAATGTCCCGTAGGCGTGCGTTGAGAAGTCGCTCGTATATTTTAGCGAGCGAGTTGAGAAGGCTAATGGGTCGGTAGCTACTGGGGAGATTGCGGGGTTTACCCGGCTTATGAATACCTATGACTACAGCCTCTTTCCACTGATCTGGAAAGATGCAGTTAGTCATGAGACAATTGAAGATCGCCACCAGAAGGGCAATAATTTGATCGGGCAGGAGTTTGATTGCCCTATTTGATATTTTATCGGGACCGGGGGACTTCTTGTTATGAAGACGCCTGATAGTCGTGTTAACCTCGTCAAACGTAATCGCGGGGAGCGGGTCGCCGGCGGGCGGCGAGTTGAGTCGTAGCGACACTTCGTCGTCGACTGTTTGTATGAACGCGGCGTCTACGCGGTTCGTATTCGGCGAGCATTGAGTCTCGAGACTCTCGGCTAGACACTCTGCCTTTTCCGCGTCGTCGAAGGCAGGTGGCTGGTTAACGCGAATTAACGGAGGGAGTGTTTGAGAAGTTCCCTCCGATTTGAGGGTTCTCGCGAGGGGCCAGTACGCAACGTGGGAGGGCGTGAGCTCGGCGAGATGTCGATCCCATCTGTCGCTTCTGAGTTCACGGATGCTATCTCTAACGCGTCTCTGAAGTACGCGGAGATTGCGTCGGTTTACCTCTGTGGGGTATCTATCGTACGCGCGGGTCGCACGGTTCTTAGCCGTTATCAACCTACGCACCTCCGGGGGCAACGCAAATCGTCGATCGGGACCGACGACGCGCTGTCTGGAGGAGTATTCAATCTTAGATTGAATATGGTCAGTAACGGCCGAGATCGCGCCTAACGCTTCGTTCGCGGTCGTCAGTCTGTCGGGTATGTTATCTAATTGAGGGGAGCTGATGGGCTTGAGAGCCGCTTGCAGCTTCCCCCAGTCGACAAAAGTCTTCGTTACCGGTTCGGAATCGACAGGAGGACCCAGCTTGAAGAGCACGGGTCGGTGATCAGAGTCTAATTCGTGTATAGTTTCTACGAGTCGTAGCTGTAGCGCTACATCTCGTAGCACTGCTACGTCTAAGACATCCGGAGCGCCGGGCGGCGGACTATAATGTGTGGGAGCGATGGGCGCGACTACAGTGAAGCCTAAAGTGTCTGTCAGTCTGTCTAGAATGATACCGTTGCGATTGTTCCGAGAGCTATTCCAGCTCCAGTGTTTACTGTTGAGGTCCCCGGCCAGAATGACCGAGTTCCCTAAGGCAAACAGGGCTCTGAGATCGCTCTCGAGTACGGTTTTATTTGGCGAGAGGTAAACCGACGCAATAATTAGCGACTGGTGTCCTGTCATCGCGATACGACAGATGGAGGCCTCCATGTTCGTGAGCGGAGGAGGGTCGATAGGCATGCAATGCAGTGACCTTTTATAGTAGATTAACGTACCGCCGAGGCGTTGGCCTGTGCGGTCGTTTCTAATTAGATTAAAATTAGCGATCTTAGGGTCGCGCACTGATGGTTTGAGAAAAGATTCCTGCACCGCAAGTATGTCGACCTGGTACCTGACGACGAAGTCCCTAACAAGGTCGGTCTGTTTGGTAAGTCCGTTAGCGTTAAAGCTAACTAATGTTAGTGAACGCGGTTTGTTTCTAGATGTACTAGCCATTACGAATTGAGTATTTAAAAGTTACGAGGAGTACTGCACGGAGGGCAGTGGTAATTTTTGAGGGCCGACACGAAGGAGTCGAACCTTACGACTAGGCCCATGAGCGCGTCGAAGTTCCCTTCGGCCTCGCGAATGGCCGCGGCGAACGCGTTTATCGCGTTGAGGTCTAGATTTCGCGCGAAATCTCTACATAGCGCCGCGTTCTCCGATAACTCGGAGGTAGACGCATTTGGCGCAGAGGGCGCCACGGAACGAGTGTTTGTTTGTAGCGCTGAAGGCGCTTTAACGCGTGGCGCTGAGGGCGCTTTAGGACGTGGCGCTGAGGGCGCTGAATTCGCCGCCGGTAGCGAAGGCGCTGAAGGCGCGGTCGTTGATTTTTTAGACCATACATTGGTCGAAGGAAGCGGGGCAGGGACGAATAAGTCCCGGGGTTGTTGCGTAGCGCGAGGCGCTGCGGCGACGGTCGGCGGCCCCTTATTCCCGGGACGCCTCCGGCCCGCACCCCTCGGGGCCTTGGGACACCCGCGATAATTCGCCGTGTGTCCCTCGGTTCCGCAGTTGACGCAAGCCGGCGGAGTCTCGCAAGGAAGCCTCCGGGTGCAATCGGCCGTGCCGTGGTCTCCGAGGCACTTCACGCACCTCGGTTTCCCCTTGCAGTAGCGGGAGGAGTGCCCGTAGTGCTGGCAACGGTGACATTGCCTCACCACGTCCTGGGATTTGGGTGACTCGACAGTGAGCCCGGTGAGAGAACAACAACTTTTAATATTGAAAATACTCTTAGAAGAGGGGGAGGGGGCGAGAATGACCAATACCAAGGGGTATTGTGCCTTCGTGTGCCTGTTGTACAGGCGGTGAATTTCCTCTACAGGGAGGCCCTGAGCCAGGAGGTCGGATTTAATATGGTCGTTTTCAATCTCCACCGGGATACCGCGAATTACGGCCCTAAGGCGACGCTCTTCATCCATTGCAAATGAATGGTATGGGACTTGGCGCTCTTCTAAGAGGCGAATGAGGGCCCTGTAATCGGCCGGAGCGGAAGGCTTGACGCTGATGCCCTGCGAAGTGTTGCGGGCCTGCGTAAAAGTTATTTTTCTCTGTGCCATCTGGCCGGACAGCGAGGTCCAGATGGTTTTGTCGTGTATTACGACAGGAGGCGGGGACTTGGGGCCCCGCTGGGGCGCGACGGATGGAGTCGGAGGCTCCACCGAAGGGGACGGGGGCTCGATAACGAGCGACATAAGGGGTTGAGGCGCGACGGGCGCTGGAGTGCGCTTCGCGGGCGGAGAGGCCTGAGGGGCCTGAGGGGCGGAGCGCTTCTTCTTTCGCTTACCGGTTACGGTCTTGAAAGAATCGTCCGAATCAGATGATGAAGAGATGCACTCGGACATTGGCGAGTCCGAATGCTCGGCGGAGAGCGGAGATGGAGGAACGCAGACGGCGTTCCGAATTGTCGCGGCGTCGGAGGCTGCACGCGACCGGGGACTCGGCGACCTAGGTGTCGCCGTTTCTGGGACGGGAACGTCGACGCACGGTGAAGCCGCGTGCGACGGGAGGGACGAGAGGGACGTGGAGGCCGCGCGAGTCGCGACCTCATTTTTGATGTTGAGGAACACCTCAGGATGTTCTTTACGTAAAATTTCGAGGATTAGGCGGTCCTCGAGTCCTAGCATTTTAATGTCCCTCTCCATGCTGAGCACGGAGAGGACGGGGTCGTGGGTTCGGTGTATAATAAATGTAAAATACTTGTAAGATACTTAAGGAGCAGCTGGCAATGAGTGTAGTGCGTCCCCCGCTCGCAGACTGCAGCGGCGGTGGCGTGTAGCGGCGTGCGGCTTAGCGGCTACCGACGAGCGGTGGGCGGCTTAGCGGCTTCCGGCAGGCAGCGAACGGTGAGCGACAAGCGGCGGACAGCAAGCAGCAGCGGTGAAACTCACTGAAAAACACTAACACTAACACTACGCGGAGGGAGCGCGGTAACACGACGCGGCGCGGGCGGCGGGCGGCGATAGCGGGGGGCCAGTTGTCGCGAGGGGACAACGGCGAGAGCGCTTAATAGTCACGTCCGCTCGGGACGGCTGTTCGGCGCGGAATCACATGTTTCTATGAATCTATGGTTTGTATGAAATATGTTGTACTTCGTCTGAAAATCTGGATATTAAGTCGGTGGTAGGGATATCGAAAATTCCGTCAGAGCCATGAATTTCCGCACACAGATGAAAAAGCCGCCTTTATCGCGTTTCGGTATCAGTCATTGGATTTCCGAGTGTCCAAAGCTAAAGAAGGTCGAGCGTATCTTTTAAAGATGTTATACAGCTGGGATATTTCACATTATAAATAAGTTAATATACATCGAGTTTTAAACGACTGTTGCAAAGCATTCGAAACATCGGGCCGGAGTTTAAATTTCGACATACATTTCGATTTTTAAACCGTTAAAATCGTTTTATCGTTTAAAAGTGTTATTTTTAGGTATTATAAGTTATTCCGCAATTTATTTTAACGTAAAATAGCATACTGTGATAAATGGTTCATAATGTTAGTAAAAACCGTATTAAACTCCAAGATATAACCTTCCAACAAAGGACAGTATGACATTTTCATTGTTAAACTCTTCGGAGAATCGTTAGAGCGATCGCTCATACAATTTCTTTGTTCAAAGAAACTCCGACGGTTGCAATATTGAAGCAATTTCATCAACATTAAGGAGGTGAGTGGAAAACTAGTTTGAACTTGGACTGCTTAGAGAAGGAACTTCATAGCAGGGACGTTAGGGAGCTTCGGCTCCGGTTCCGGTTAAGTCGGAACGACTTCGGCTTCGACACATTTTAATTCGGAAAGGAATGAGAGGTGAGTTTTCTTATCATAAAATAAAAATTCTCAAATATCCAAAGTCAAAATAGATCGACAGAGCAGGTCGTGTACTTAGATGTTTTGTGACTGACGTGACATGAAGGGAACCCCATACTTAAATACTGTCTATAGTTTGCGCGAGTAGTACACATTTAAATAAAACACTTTAACGGTTTAAAACGCGATATATTAGTTAAACTTATTTGGAAATGATTTTTAACTTCGGCCCGACGTTTCGGATGCTTTGCAGCAGCCGTGGTCACGGGGAGACTCCCAAATTCCAAATAAGTTTAACTAATATATCGCGTTTTAAACCGTGAAAGTGTTTTATTTAAACCCCATACTTGTTTGTCCTCCTCTATCATTAAAAAAAAACTTATTCTCATGCCACCAATTCTAATCCTCCAACTTCGGTTCCGATACTGATTGCGACTCCGATAAATCAAATTAAAATAGTCCGAATCCGCCTTCGGTTTCGATAAACCTACTTCCATTACATCCCTACTTCATAGTACAAAAGAGTTCTTAATACTGAATGACTATAATATTACTTAAACAATTTTAAAACTTAAGAAAATTAAGGACGGGATTCCGTTAAGGTATAAAATGTCTTTATTAAGTTTAATATTGTTCTGGCTTCTTTCTTGGTCGGTTAGTTTAGGAATATTATAATCTTTATATATGTTGGGCTGTGGTAGCAATGTGTGGCTTGAAAATTTTAATATTTTCAAATGTCGCTAATTATTATTAAATTAAATAGATTTTTAACTTATATAGCATGTGAACAAAAGCGTGTTGAAGTTTTGAAACATTGAACTCTGTAATTTCATCTCCATAATTTCTTAAGCTGCAACGCACAAGACATTGAAATTCGGTTAGAGCAGGAGTACGGGACACTGTAGATGCCGGTTCAGGGCGCGCGCGTGTGTATTTTTTTTTCTAAATAGATTTTTAATTTATGTGTGTCCAGGATTTTCTAATCTGAAAAATCAAGAAAATAAATGTGTGGTAATAATATTGGGAATCTACAGTTTCCGTCGTTGGATTTCTGAAAATACGACCAAGACAAGTTGACAGCGTATCTTAAGAATAGGGCACCTTTGATCTTCAAAGCCTTTGCTTTACAATCTTTTTGTGCCATACAAAAGATAATCCTCCAATTTGATATTGTCTAGTTTATACGTTTAACAAAACTACGTTTCTATAGAAAAAAATGCCATTTTTAAAGCTTAAGTTTAAGCAACTCGTATTAAGACATAACAATTTGTATAACAGGTCTATAGTTACTTTTGTCTATAGTTTACTTTTAACGGTTTATAACGCGGAATTGATAAGTATTAACTTATAAAAAATTATTTTATTATTGAGCACCGTGACCACGGCAGCTGCAAAGCATCCGAAACCTCGAGCCGTAATTAAAACAAGTTAATTAATATTTTTCACGTTTTAAACAGTTAAACGTGTTTCATTTAAATGTGTGCGCCATTTAACTTTATTATTTAAAGTACTAGTACGTAATGGGATAGAAGAATCACGAAAAAACCCAGTCATCGCTTAGTTAAAAAGTTAATTGTTTCGACTTTCCAAAAAACGGCGATACTGACGAGCACTTTCTTTTGTTTTGTTATTTCTTGGCACTAAGACCCCGAAACAGGGTTTGGTATTCCATTGGAGCCAGAAGTAAAATTATATTTAAAAACATTACAGTTACAATATTATTTGAATTTCGTTTAAACAAATTGTGTAATTAAATACTGTCTATAGTTTACGCGAGTAGTACACATTTAAATAAAACACTTTAACGGTTTAAAACGCGATATATTAGCTAGTAACTAATATATGGCGTTTTAAAACGTTAAAGTGTTTTATTTAAATTGTGTTATTCTGAAAATAAACAAACTTTTTTATGATAGAGGAGGACTGACAGGCACTTCACTTGATGATAAATGAAATAATCCAGGCATATAACATCGAATGAAGATCGTCGACCTATTTTGGCTTTGGATATTCGAAGACTTTCAGAAAAAATATACATTGATTAGAAAAATGTTGTTCGAACCCACGACTCGTTGATTATTAACCACAGATTGCAACCATTACGATAACAAGAACATTAAAATTGTTCAAATCATGATAGAGGGTTAGATGTGTAAGCCCTAGGGACTCTGTATTCGAATCCCGGAGATATAAAAGTTTAAGTTCAGCAGTGCAGCAGCAGACGGAGAAAATATTTGCTACTAAATAAGATTGATCACACGTTAGCACATATCGGTGTATATTTTAGACACGGAAGTGTGTCTATCTCATGCAATAAAGAAAAATGAAACTTCAATATAGTATTTTTGTATATATCGTACACATAATATGTATTTAGTCAAACCGTAAATTGTTTCAGTAAATACATCAGTGAAGGTTACCTACGAATCAATTATGAATCAAAATTTTTTTTTATTTATATCTATTCATTATTTGTTTTTCTCCGATATAGTTTAGGAATGTTTAAGTATAGACCAGTCATACAAATGTCTTATTTCACATTATCTACTTGTTGGGGCGTAGGGTTGTTTTACTGATGTGAAATTTAAAGATTTTGATCGCAGTTTATTCTCTGACACTATTTATCAATTCCCAGAATTTGAATCTCGATGTACCCTTTACTATTAAGCCAAAGCATTCTGCTTGCAAGCCGCTAAAACAAAGACAAAAAATCGTATGCTAGAATTATGATTACTATGCGGTTGAATAAAATTCAACTTTCTTTTATCGTGAAAAAAGTTGAACAATGTTTTGCTATTTTATGACGTCATCGAGACATCTAGTCTAGACTGGATGTTAGGGCTAATCAAAACTAGACGTGTGAAACCTTGTCAACTTAGATGTTAAACATTCTATGTAACTACGACGTTTTGAATACAATTATTTAATATTATAAATATTTCATATGCAACATAGGTGCAATTAAATTTGACGTAGAAAAATACTTTTAAATAAAACACTTTAACGGTTTAAAACGCGATATATTAGTTAAAGGGGGACTCGTGACCCGTGACCACGGCTGCTGCAAAGCATCCGAAACGTCGGGCCGAAGTTAAAAACATTTTCAAATAAGTTTAACTAATATATCGCGTTTTAAACCGTTAAAGTGTTTTATTTAAGTGTGTACTACTCGCGTAAACTACAGACAGTGTTGAAAAATACTATTCAATGTTTTTAAGATAGAGCTTATTAATTAATGTCTCGTTACCGGTTTAAAACGCAAATTATATAATATTAGTTAAATTATTCTTTTTTTACTGCGGCCCACTAAGCATACCAGTAAACGAGAGCATACCATGAGTCGGTTCTTAAGGACCAAGTTAGGTTCTTCAAATACCAAATACGATAAAATAGATGGCGTTAGCGTAGCAGTTTTGACTTTACATTAGGAACACTCCATTCTCATTATTCACATTCGGTTTAAACCGTTAAATGTGTATTCCTTACGTTACTTTACAGACAATACTTATTGTAATTTTTTTGTAATGTTCTCGTTTTTTTACATTTTCCATTGTACTCCACTCCTTTAAGTTAAATATAAGTCGCAGCTCAATGTTTTATAGCCTACAAGCCTTCCTTAATAAATACTCTAGCCAACACAAAAATAATTTTTCGATCAATTCGAAACCAGTAATTAATTGCTGTGATTAGCACGTTCAAACAAACTCTTCAGCTTTATTTAAATAAAACACTTTAACGGTTTAAAACGCGATATATTAGTTAAACTTATTTGACTCGGAGACTCCCCGTGACCACGGCTGGTGCAAAGCATCCGAAACGTTGGGCCGAAGTTAAAAATCAT